AATGCTACACAAAAATAGCCAGTCTGCCAAAAACAATTCTTAAAAAAAAAATTACAGTTACTAAGAATTGATTACCTAGGAATAAACCGGGTCAGAGAGATGGAAGTAACCAATCAATCACTGGTTTATTGACCATCTCTCCTCTTCTTTTGCAAGTCCGACCTAGTCTGCTCTTGATTGGCCAGCACGAGAGGAGAGGATGATACCAACAATAAGGCCATAGAGAGCTAAAGCTTCAGCAAAGATGAGGATGAGGATCATTCCGACAAAAAGTTTTGGCTGTTGAGCGTTGGCTCTGCAAAAATAGATAGTAAGAAATCTCAGCAAAGGATGCGGAAAATGAAACAAAACAAACTTCGTACCCAAAGGCTTTCCAACCATCATGAATCCCATGAGAACAGTGAAACACAAGAAAACAAGTCTACATTCAGTAAGAGATCTAGAAAACATGGTTTACAGTTGTTGCAGTACTTAAAACGTAGACAGCATTTTAAAGAAACCACTGTTCTACGGTAAAGTGTGCTCAAGTGAGAGTGGTGTTCTAGTGAGAGTGATTTAAGTAAAGGACCTGGAAAATCAAAATCGGATATTATATACCAATAGTCAGCTGTCAGAGCTCAAACATGCAAAAAATCATGTAGCAGCCAAAATCTAAGAAAGCGTATCATTGCACAAAAGAGATGGGTGGGCATGAATGGATCGTATATAAAGATAAAAAAGAGATTTAGATCAGAGGACTTTCAGCAGCACATTTCTCAACTAGATTAGACAGAGAAACCAGAAGACAACCTACATGAGTATGTATAAATGGCATAAGATTGACTAAAATCTAAAGCAAGAGCTGTGTTTCAAGAGCAAGTGGTGCAATGCAGAACATTCAGCAACAGCTCTGGCACATGAAATGGATAAAATTAATAATTACAAGAAAAATTAACAGTTCTGTTGCTATTTAATTGTTGAACCTATACCTTTAACCTCCGTTTTCTGCTTAATAAATAATCGAAGGAGTCCTGCACAATTGCTTATACTTCCGTGGCAAAAGAACTCATACTCCACACAAGTATTCTAGATTTAAAGTTGGTTCATTCTTCATGGTGAATGTTTATTGGATATTTTGAACATCTAATCTGTAGTCACACTTCCAGCTTTTTCCTCAGCCAAAAAGAAGGTTAAATCCAATTCTCTAATGATCATCTCCAGAGTTTCTCAAATGAACTAGAAGTGCTTTGATATGTAATGAAAATAAATCAAAATTGTATTGACCTCGAATGTACATGATCAAATTCTAGCTACTTGCTATTGTTTATGACATCTGAACTAATAACTTGTACAAATATTATTATTAAGTTATAAACCCCCATCGAATCCCATGTGATTAAATCTAACCCTGTCGGAATCTCTTTGCAGAAAAACTGAGCAACCTAGAAACCCTGTTTTATGCTAGCCTGTGCATGCCAAGATATTTCCCAGCTAAATTGAGCATATAATGTGTTATTTATTTCCGTTGCATACTATCAATTACAGCTGCAAAAACTATCTGCAGACCCTCTTCTTGGACCATGTCAACATGAATATTTACACTAAATATCATGACAGACAAGTCTATGTCAAAGTGATATACCTGCAAGAGTTTTGATTCTTTGGAAGCATATTAACATCTCAAGGTAAGAAAAATGACTATGGAAAAATACAAAGATACTAAATCTAATCGGAAAAGCCTTGAAAATGTAATTAATTGAAGTATTACATCATTAGCTCGTTTTTTACTCCCATACACTTGACACAACACATATCTAAGGTTGATTTGAAATCCTTTATTCATGGCATAAGTTCATTAAACAAGGTAGAAAATAATCAATTATCTCGAACTCGATAATACATACGCCAACTTATGTCATGTTTGTTTAGCTTATCCCTGTAATAGATGGATTTTTGATATAAAGTATATAGATTTGAAATCCATTCTCAGGAATCTTACAACTCTCAGGGATCAAGATAGCAATGATAACAAAGATGACTATTCATTCCACCATCCGTCTTCCTTTTAGGACCTATAAAAAATATTGTACTTCAAAGTTGTTTGGTACAAAGCAAATGGAAATTGTAACTGTAACTTGTGAAAGACAGTTGTAATTGCAACTTTTTTATTTTTATATTTTTTATTTTTATTTTTAATTGTTTTTAAGAAGGTTGTAATGTAATTGCAACTATTTGTTCAACTAGAATTGTACCAATTGTACTCCTTTTGCAAAAACAGGAACTAAATTAATTGCAAATGCTTTTGCAAAAATGACTTATTTCTGAAATTGCAGAGCCAAAAAGCCTACAGTGCTGCAACGGTAGCTGCAGTTACAATTTTATGTGAACCAAACAGCTATTTTATATTTAAGTACGGTGCTAGAGGAAAACGTGCACAAGGTCCACACTAGCCTCTCGGTTCCTTTTACTACATTTCTTCAGCTTCAGATAAATTCCTACATTTTTAGATAATATTCTATCTCAATTCCTTTGGTGGATCCCCTCATGCGGCTGAATGGAAGTCATTAAGTACATATAGTTCTAGTTTAAAGTATCAATCAATACCTATGCCGCACAGATATGATGAGTGCAGGTGTAGAGCCAGACACGGTGCAGATACGGGACACGGGAAAATTGCAAAAGTTAGGATACAGGGACACTGTTATACACATACATATTAAAATTAATAATTTATTTGAGATCGATATTATTTTTCACATTTTATGAAAGCTAAAATCATTTTACCATTTTTATGGTTCTTTCATTGAGTGGATTGTAAATTGAATACCCGCTAATTTTTGAACTAGATACCCAAACAACCATTTAAATTCATATTTATGAGCTAGGCATGTGCTAAAACAAACCTGACTTGAGTCCAATGAGTTACATAAAGTTGAGATTAAGTGTATGATATACGTTCAAGAAATGCATCACGAATTTTTTTAAATAAAACATGTGTCATATGTTCAGTACATGTCTGAATAAATGTTTATAAATGTTAAGAAGTGTCCAAAAGTGTCCAAAGAGTGTTCGACATAGACACGGATACGGGAAGTGTTGGACACAGATACGACAACCTAAATGAAGTGTACAGGTGTTTTTCATCTGACTAGTATCAGACATTAAGTATGACACCACAATCCAAACAGACTCGAACAATAAAGGCGATATTGCATAATAGCAACTTATATAAGTTCATATGAGCTTGTAACAAATTTACAAGGAGATTAGATTTAAAGTTACAAATTTTTATTACACAATGTTATGTTAAATAATTTTTTAAAAGAAATTGACTGGATCTTCTATTAAACTAATTTTCTCTATTTAACAATACTTCCAATCAAAACTTGCTGAACTCACTTAAGTTTCAAAATTTGATACCAACAAGGAAAAAGTGAAACCATGGTCGTAGACCCAATACCAACATTTGAAACCTGGATCTGATCTTTACAAGCTCAATTATCCAATGCTAAAGAAGATCATAGAATAGTAATAAGAGCCTAAAAATCTCCTCAAGGAGCATTTGAACAAGGACATAACTAAACCATCTGCCAGGAGAAAACATATGAGAAAATATCCAAACTTCTTTTCGTTATCTGCACAACACTCAGTTCATCCTTGCACTTGCCAAAACTCACAATGCAATAGCTAATTTACTCCATAATAGCTTTAGATTGGCTTACAAAAGTAAGGCGTCGACTAGAAATAATTCTGAAGGGTTATTTCGATATTACTCCCTCAAATCATCATAATAGCTATTAGGTTCGCCAAATCACATAAGTTAGTTGAAATAGGCCCCTCTAGTTAGGTGGGGCTATAACAAGGAAGGAATATTCTATTTCTTTCAACATTTATGGGGGAAGGAACGTTATACCCCTCCCCTATTTTCCCAAAACATTAACTATTGCTTGAACCAAAATAATTTCAAACCCAAAAACACTATATATATATATATATAAACTCATGGTTATAATTTTATCTCAGGATCTGAGACTATAGCCATAATATATAGAATTCATTATAAAACATTGACTTCTTTAGCTCCGAAAGCTAAAATTCATTCTAAAATAGGAAAAACAGTACTGGTTGAAACAAATGTTTTATCATCTAATATTGTTGTTAATAGGCAAATTAAATGGGTGAAATAAATTTCTCAGACAATTGGGTTATACCTAACGTTGTTCAACCACAGCCAATAATCAATCAAGAGATTGATTAAATAACTCAAACAGTTGATGGAGAAGTTGAAATTATTTTTAATCCTTCTCGAACTATTCGTCTATCTGACGTTACTAGTACTTCTAGAAGATCAATTTCTAGATCAGGTTATTACAGAACCAATGATATTAAAGGCATAAATATTTCTGAGAATCATATTCCTCACGCTTTATACAAAGAAAAGGAGAAAAGTTCTCCTACAAGCTCTGAAATGAGTTCTAGAATGCCTGGTTAATATGAATATTATAGAAAATAAAGAAATAAGAAAATTTTCTTAATAAGGAATTTCAAGAAGAAAAACATCAAGAAATTAGAAAATGGTTCTTCAAAAGCTTTTCTAAAAAAGAACAACTAGAATTTAAAGATAAATATTATAAAGATTTACAAATAGATAAAAAAAAATAGAATTTTTAATTGCTTGGTTTCTTAAATATTATATACAAAATCAAGAAAATCAAATTAGTGTTATAGAGGAACATTATAAACAGTGGAAATTTGCCACTGGTATGAATATAAGATCCATATATCCTCCAACAGATGCTTTGAAAATATCTGATATTCATTCAAGTGTTTTAGAAACGAATGCTTTTGTAAAGCAAAATGAATCAAATGATGAAACTCTAAAAGAGTTAAATAAAATAATTAAGCAACATAATTATACTAACTTATATCTTCAAGTTATAGGAAAACAATTAATAAGAATTGAGGATGTTTTAGAAAAACTAATAAATAAGTTTAATGAAATACTACCTTCTCTTAAGATAGTTGAAAGAAGTAAAGCTATCACTAATAGTGAAAAAGCAACTATTAAACCACCTATAGATATTTCAGGGTTTAAAAGAGGAGATGAAGTAACTTCTGACATTATAGAAAAATTAGCAAAAAAATTTAATAATTCAAAATTAAATACTTTATCATCCACTCATCAATTATTCCTACTGAAAAAAGCTCTTCAGAAGATGAGATAAATAACCTTCACGATATTTCATCTGAAGATGAATTAAATCAAAATGAATTATTAACTTTAGAAAATCAATTCTCATTAATAAACAAAATAAA